CTTACACTTACTACAAACTCTTCATATTTTAACGTCATCCAATGTTGGAACTATGCAGGAATTACTAGTTACCAGTATTCGAACGGCTGGGCTGTGGTTGAACAATGGCCTATTCCGTCATACGTCATAGATGGCCCGGGACCACATGACATGAAATATGACGTAAATGGTGAAACACTTTACGCATCGTGGGGCGCATTCCATGCTGATTCAAAGGATCCCGTAGTAAAGTACGAGTGGGCTGTTGGTACGTTTGGGCAAGTTGACAACATCCTGGAATTTACAGATGTAGGACTTGATACAAAAGTTTCATTGTCGTTGGCAGAAAGCGATATAATATTAAGGACGGGGGTTGAATATTACATAACTGTGCGCGGAACTACTTTGAGCGGATGGAACAGCAACAAAACATCAGATGGCTTTATCGTGGATACAACTTCGCCGACTGCTGGTATTGTGAAGGTGTCTCATCATATTTTAAACCAGAACGCCAATGAAGTTGATTATACATTAACATGGGAAGGTTTTGCTGACTCCGAGACAGGAATTGACAATTATGCATATTGTTTGGGTTATATTAAGGATGTTTGCTCAACGACTGTCTTCAATGCAGGGCTGGCTTTTCAAGGCACAGTGCAAGGTTTTCGTCCTGAAGCCCAAGATGATTCATTCCACGGTATTGTCGTTGTTACAAACAGAGCAGGTCTGAAAACCATCGTTAGTTCAAATGCTGTTAAAATTGACTTCACCCCTCCCACGACTGGAACTGTACTTGATGGAATTGATATTGATTTGGACTATATCAACTCTGGCGTTACCTTAGCAACGACATGGTCGGCGTTCATAGACCTCGACACTGGAATTAAGACATGCATCTTAACTGTCAATGAAGAAAACCCGTTTAAGAACGAGTCTATAACGATGAAAGTAAGGATGGACGTTAATACGACTGGCTCCATAATTCACGATTTCCTGTTGATATCAGGCCTTCAGTACGTTTCTACTGTAACATGTGAGAATTTCGACGGATTTAAATATTCAAAATCCTCTAACGGTGTCATTGTTGACGACTTCCCTCCTATTGCGGGCACAATACTTGACAAAAATGAGCAACCCTTTGAAAACCAATATCAGGCATCCACTAGTGAGCTTCATGTCCGTTGGACCGATGGACACGATCTTGAAAGTGGCATCATGGAGTATCTCATTGCCGTGGGATCTGGGTCAAATGAGGACGACATGCGCGAATTCTTTTCAGTTGGATTAGCAAGAGAGATAAATGTTAAGAACCTTACTCTGAGCACGGGTTCAACTTATTACATCACTTTGCAAATTGTGAATAAAGCTGGTATGACGTCACGTGTTTCTTCAAGTGGTATAACAGTTGATACGACACCACCAGAAATACAAGAGGTATGTATAACAGCAAAACATATTAATCTCAAACATTGAAAATTCATGAATAAATTAACCAACCATATTGTATTATTTTGCTCACTTGATAATATTGGATACCTGGTAAAGTATATTGATCCAATCCTAGGACTGGATCAATATACTTCACCATGTAACCAGCATTATCGTGTGAGCAAAATAAAGCAATATGATTGGCTAATTTACTCATGAATTATTAATGAGTTTGAGATGTAATATTTCAAATCTGATCATGAGGCCGCCAATAGATGACAATGCGTGATTTTTTCAATGTATTTCCAATATTTTTCAGATAAAACTTCAACGATCTGGAACTGGGCATATAGGTCCTAAAGATAATCTAGGTGGAAGCTGGAAAACATTCGACGACGAAAGCTATATCGACTTTGTTGAATATTGTTTTGGTACAACTGAAGGAGGGTGCAATGTACAAGATATGTATCGGGCATTGGACAAAGAAACGAACGTAACGTGCCTTGATTGCAAACTGAAACACAACTACACTTATTTCATGACTGTTCGAGTCTGGAATAAAGCGGGCTTATTTAACCTGGCTACATCAGAAGGAGTGACAGTTGATTTGACGGCACCTATCGGAGGCAAAGTATCATTAAATAAAACCTATATGTTTTGTATTGGTCGTTGTGGCCTGACCGCAGAATTTAGTGGATTTAAAGATGATGAAAGTGGTATGGGAAGTTGTGAATTTAGCATTAAAACCGTGAATGAAGTAACAGTTATGCCTGTTCAACCTACGACAAATGAAAACCAAATAGAAGCCAATGATTTAATATTCCAGCATGGTGAAAGTTACAAAATAGCTGTGGCGTGTTATAATACCGTGGGAGAGCGAAGCTGGGACGTTTTCTCGCCACCAATACGAATTGATAATGTGCCACCAGAAAAGGTAAGACGTGCCCGCAATGATACATAACGAATATCTAAAAAAACACATCTTTTCCTACGTCCTGTGTCAAGTGGAAATGGACTTTAGGTTTGTACGTTTGAAAGCATGCAGCAAACGGCACAGTCGGATATTCTTGGCAATGTTTCATTTCTTTTCGTCGCTTCATGTTTTCTTTATTTAATGAAAATTGCAGCAAAATTATGTTTGCCTAATTTGAAAGAGTGTTGAGATTAATCACAAAGCCTTTTCACAAATACTCCCAACAATCAAACCAAAACATTCTGCATTCCTGCCATCCGCCAATTTGTTTTTTAAGTAGATCTAATTAAATTGCGTCACAACTATAGCAGTAAAAAATATAGGATTTAGCAATAAAGTAACCTGAGAATGGACCTTTCACCTTTTGACTAAAATTTAGATCTCAACAAGTCTAGACAAAAATTTTATCACAGCTTGAAAGAGCATCACAGAATTAGTAATATTCCAAAGTTTCATTGCGAAATGTTGTAAAATGCGGATAATATAGCCTTGCGAAATTTGCCATTTTCAGTCATTTTGTATTACGCGCAGGAAATACATACCTCCTTCGGAAAAAGGGTATGTATTTCCCGTTTGTAATACAAAAAGACTGAAAATTGCAAACTTCGCAAGGCTATATTTTCCTCATTTTACAACATTTCGCAACGAAACTTCGGAAAATTACTAATTTGGTGATGTTCTTTCAAGCTGTGATAAAATTTTTGTCTAGACTTGTTAAAATCTAAATTTTAGTCAAAAGGTGAAAGGTCCATTGCCCAAGATAGAAAATAGTTTTACCCCGGTTTTGACGTCCGACGATGCATGGATATGCATATCCAAGATGGCGGACTTCATAATTATTTTGTTTGAAATAAAGGGCTATACCTTTTTATGTAAGGTTTTGAAACATACTGAACCTCCTTTCCAAGTGCGAGACGACAGTTTTAATAAAAATGAAACCATAATACAAGGAAATGTAATAATTTCTTCACATTCTTTACATGCACAGTTTCGAATGCTGCCGCTTTTTAAAATTATATCAAATAATATTATTCATTTTAGGGTTTTGTGATCGTAAGTCCTGATCGAAATCATGATGTTCGGCGTCAGCATGTTGGCTGTCACTTTTTGAACACGACATTACGGGTTTACTGGTCTGAATTTCAAGACAAAGAATCAAACATCGTCGGATATCGCGTCGCCATTGGACGAAGACCACTTGGATATGATATAATTCCCTTTACCCATGTCGGTATAGTCGCAGATGCAAAGTTTGACCTTGGCGAAAAATATGGTCTGTCTCTGGGAGAAACGATCTTTGCAACAGTAGAAGCCAAAAATAAAGCTGGTCTTTCAACCGAGGTGTCATCGCTTCCTACTCGTCTAATATCTAATACAGACAGTAACCTTGTTAATGAGGAAGATTTCTTATGTGTTAATGTTTAAATATGTTGAACCAGTAATTTCGAATAAAAACTGGATCGGGTGACTATCTATTCTGCATAAAATGAAGCCATGCATGGACAAGAGGTTTTAAAGGACAAACTCATGATAAAATTGCTAATGCACTATATGACAGGAATTTATTGCTTGAGACCGTTTTGTGTGCGAAACTAATAGTGCGTTGCTTAGTGTCTTTACTTTATGTGCCACGTTTAAAAAATTAAGAACTTTTTTCCCAGAACATGGTGCCAAGCACGGGAGGACACCTCCCCCGCTCTTTTGACATCCGTAATACAACCTATACAGGGCGTATAAAAAAAGGTAATCGAACTTCAGCGCGCTATTATACATGAATTACTCGGCATATGAACAATTGGTTTTAATATTCAGAAAGATCAGGCTTTTAGCTATTGAATGACATGCTTTTCATGCCAAGTGGAGAAAAAATAAGCATGTACGAGGCCGATTAAAAATGTTAGTCAAAATCTCATATTTTCACATCTGTGCCTAATTAAAACAATGCGTAACAAAATAAAAAGCAATTAATCACGAACGCGTCGTAGCTTAGGGCGCTTTCCATTTAATGGCCTGACCGGTCAGACCCGAATTCTTTTCTCTGTATCAATGGAAAGATTTGATCTATGTTTCTCAAATATCTAGCGAATTTGGACCTCATTCTAATTCTATCTAAATTTTCTGGTCAGATAGGTCAGAAGCCCAAACTTTTTGTGTTTCGTTCAACAATTTGACCGTTCTGACCGGTTTGGCCGTGTCAATGGAAAGCGCCCTTAGCTAAGATTTATTCCTACTTAATAATAATTATGAATATGTGCGTCGTTTATTGAAGTGAAATTCATCAACTTAAGTACCAAAGGGGGTTCATTTTTAATGGTTTAGATCCAACTCTCAACGGTGAAAATATGCGATTCTGACTAACAATTTTTATCGGATTCGTATTTGCTCATTTTTTATCCATTTGGCATGAAGAAGATATCATTCAACAGCTAAAAGCATGATCTTTTCGAATGTGAAAAAATCTCGTTCATACGCAGAGTAATTCAGATACAATAGCGCGCTGAAGTTCGATTACCTTTTTTTATACACCCTGTATAATAAACTAGCGAGTATACGTGTGCGTGTTCTCCATCCTCCCACTTTTTAGATTGGAGTTTACATTTCGGATCACTAATGCATGGGAAACACGGAACATTCCAGCACACTTTCATTATTGGAACTATATTAACATTCACACTGATTTACTGTGTCTATATAGGTTTCTGGTAGTCATAAGCTAGTAGCATGTTTAATGGTTGTAGTCGATGAAGAGCGTGGCAAATGTCAGCATGATATAATATTATATATACCATATAGCTTTTTTTTCTTCTAATGTGTAATTAAATAATGATATAACAAGTAAGCTTAAAGACCGTATAAACGAATTCGAGTCATTTGGGTTCCAATTTGGTGCAGCTGTCGCAAATTTCACTATGGGCTGGAAATCATAGATATCTTATATACACTAGATAGTGCATCTAATTATTATGCAATTCAAAAATTGAAGCCGTGATTGCAGACTCAGGATATTCCCAAGAAATGAGAAGACTCATACTGTATGTTTTCTATTTCTTAAACAGGGAACTTAAACATTAAGTTAAACCTATTCCAAATACATTTTCAAACTGTTCAAATGATGAACGTTATTGTTGTTTTTTAAGCGTTTATTAGCGAGTGGGAAACTCCAACATGGCCGCCATCTATTCAAATGGGGGTAACCGCTGGAATATTCTTGGCTTCAATTTTACTTAAAGAGATGCGCTATCTACTATCTAGTGTATATACATGTAAGATATCTATGCTGGAAATATACTAATTTAGTCGATGTAAACATCAGTATAGGTTCAACAGACAATGCACTAACTATATATCATACCATTTACACGAATAAAAATAATAAAAAATAAATATACCCATTCACAGTATACCCAATTAGTATACAATCATTGTAATTGTAAATTAACCTATTGCTATGAAATCAAAATGACTTTACCAAACTAAAAGTTCTCAGCAAGTATATGGTGAATTTCAAGAAGAGAGGGGAATATGATCTTCAATTGATATATGTGCATCAATTGACCACTTGCGTAATACACTAAATTTTGATCTAGACAAAAATTTCATCGCAGCTTGAAAGAGCATCACAAAATTAGTAATATTCCAAAGTTTCGTTGCGAAATGTTGTAAAATGCGGATAATATAGCCTTGCGAAGTTTGCAATTTTCAGTCATTTTAGATTACAAACGGGAAATTGACAGCCCAATACCCTTTGGGGCTGTCAATTTCCCGTGTGTAATCTAAAATGACTGAAAATTTCAAACTTCGCAAGGCTATATTATCCGCATTTTACAACATTTCGCAACGAAACTTTGGAATATTACTAATTTTGTGATGCTCTTTCAAGCTGTGATGAAATTTTTGTCTAGACTTGTTAAGATCAAAATTTCGTCTATTACGCAAATGGTCAATTATTCATACAGTATATGCAAATCAAATCACAAATAAAATTTTCATTTCATGTTTCAAATCTCTATGTCTGAAACCGCAAGTAATCTTCTATCCATATGTGAAATAAATCGCATATGAAATCTTCATTTCAATTCATATATATTTAATTTCATTGTGTGAAAGAAATTCACATATATGAAATTTTGAATTCATATTTGAAATGTTCTTGTATGAAATAAATTAAATGTGAAATCATTCATATATGCGAAATTTCTATACCTGAAATATGTTTGAAATAAATTGAAACCCACAAAATTCATAATTATTTGAAATGTTCATGTGTGAAATCACACAATATATGTGCATCAATTTTTAAAAAGTGCCTCCCAATTAACGAAATAAGAACTGAACTAAAAAGTAACTAATTAAGAACTAAGTATTTAGTGAGTTTCCTAGAACTTTTAAATTCAACTTGCCTTCCATTGACAAGTGTGGCACACATACAGTACATGCATGTACTGTATATATGGTTCACCGTGAAGGTCATTTGTCAAGTTAGTATTTCTCTGTAAAAACCATGTGCACCATGTTCAAGTTATTGCACTGTTTGTCTGCAAACTACCGAGGCTAATTTTGCACACTGTGATTTGTCGGACTGATATACCGTTCCACTTCAATGACATTTGGGGAAAATAAGACAAAGATCATCCGCGACATGAAAGGATTTGCCATTACCATTCAGCAGGACACGAAGTCGGCCCGACAAATCGCAGAAATGTAAAGAGGTACCTTAAACTGCTTCACTATTCTTGTTGCTAACCAAGAGATTTTCCATGTAAGGAATGCACTTCAATATACATCTAGAACACAGGAAACCACCCTCCATCTTCTGTGCCGTTCCCTAAGGAAAAAGCAAACGACATTATATCGATTATAGAGTATTCTTACTATAAAAATTACGTGTTTTCTGAAGTGTAGTGTTAGTGTAATGTTGTGTAAAATTATATTCAATGCATGCGTACTGATTATGAAAGGACAAAGGAAGTCACTAGCGTGTCGGTGGTTATATACAGTACTGTATGTGATAAAAATCATGTTAATTTACATAACCTTTAGCTTTGATTTTCTCGGCTTAGACAAAGTTGATTTTTCAAATTACTTCGCCAATGAAGTCATCAGATGGCTCGTTTTTTTAAGCCATTTAAAACACTCGCAGTTCATGCTTTGTCAGATATAAGACACTCGGCTGTCGCCTCGTGTTTACACGTATATCTTATATAGAGCACTCCTGCTCGTGTTTTAAATTAAAAAGTACTGGGGCCCAGTTATTCAAAAACTGGTTAGCTACTGTGATCTTAGGTTAACCTACATGTATAAAACTTCGAAGCAAATTTCCTAACAATCTTTTTATAAATATAGAAATATATTTACAGAAATCCTACACCCGATTGGGCTATCAATTCCCCATGCGTAATACAAAATGACTGAAAAACGGCAAACTTCGCAAGGCTATATTATCCGCACTTTACAACATCTCGCAACGAAACTTTGGAATATTACTAATTTTGTGATGCTCTTTCAAGCTGTGATGAAATTGTTGTATAGACTTGTCTAGATCAAAATTTTAGTTATCAGGTTAAAGGTCCATTCCACTCAAAATTTCCATCCACAAATCCCTTCAACAGGTTGTATTATATAACCTGGCATTACAGCTAATCATTCTTTGAACAACCGGTTCCTGAGATCATGAAGTTGACTGTTTCGCCAAGTATTTTGCGATGTACAGTATACAGTACACCAAAAAGCGGAATAGGGTAAATTGTGTCCCTCCCCTCATCTACTGTAATTCTGTATCGCAACTTACCAGCACAACTTGAGCACGTTTCATGGCCAACATTGACTCAGTGAAGTCGCAACGTCGCTTGCACTCTGCACAATACGTTGATTCAATAGCCTGCAGAAAAATATTCCAAACTATTATTCAATCGTCTCGTTCAGTCGCGGACATATACGAAATATGGGAGGAGGGGGGATTTATGTTGCCAACATGTGATTCCCTATATGGCTGCTGGATATCCTGGTTCGTCAAACTTTTTTGCATTAACGGATTCGTAAATCTTTAGAATACTGGGGCCGGTTGTACGAAGGTCGGATAGCGCTATTCACCGGATAGTAATTTTTTCAACCTTTGTAAAATGCTTGAAAAACTGTGAAACTACGGATATTGACGACACAAGAAGTATAAAAAACATTTAACTTGTAAGTACTAAACTTTAATACAGTCGTTGATTGGTACAACTCGTATGATTGGTATATAACTCGTATTAAAGTTTACTATTTACAAGTTAAATGTTTTTTATACTTCTTGTGTCGCCAATATCCGTAGTTTCACAGTGTTTCAAGCATTTTACAAAGGTTGAAAAAATCACTATCCAGTGGATAGCGCTACATCCGGCCTTCGTACAACCGGCCGCAGTACCGTAATTAATCATAAGTGCATGCATCCATTGTGCCTACCTGTACACTTTTAAGACTCTCACATGTTACAAGCAAATCCTGCAATAAAAATGATTGTATACAGTACTAGTTTCTTAAAATTAAACATGCCAGTAGGAGGGACGCTGTAAATTTGACATGAGAAAATTTCCAATACGATTCCGATCAAAGACAATGGTCGACCGGTTGAGCTATCGCACGAACAGTTTTTATCCATTTTAAGTGCAAGAAATATTACCGCTACCCATGCGAGGATGTGTACAATCCATCCTCCGAGCAATATGAAGAAAAATTCCAACACGATTTAGGAACAGTTACTATTTTTAGACTTTTAGGATTAGGGTTTGGAATAGGGAAAGGGTTAAGATTGGGGTTAGGATTAGGGTTGAGTTTAAAATACAAAAGAATACAAAATTACAAAAGTCTAAAAATAGTAACTCTTCCTAAAATGAAACAGGTATAATTTATTATGTCAACAAAGGAACCATGCTGACATTTTCCCTGCGTGTTACTCTGAGGATGGCAACTTGCGTGGTGAAGCGTGGTGGTGATCACACAATTCTATAACAAAATAACTACACGTACCGTTCTTAATGCCAAGATGCTATATAACATCGTGGAACACTGTAGACGAAGTTTTGCGCGAGTAACGGCTACGTACAGTAGATTCTTCTCGTCATTTGGCGCATTTCCTATTAGGACAAAAAGCAGCTTATAATAACCTACAGTACACACGTTCATTGTAGCGGTTTGGTACACAATACATGAAAATATAAAACAATCTAAGATAGCCAGACGTTTGAGTAAGAGGCGTATGTCGACTGTCGTGGTGAACTGTGTATCATCGGTGCGTTTTTTTTCTTCTATAATTGAATTCTCCTCTAAACAAAAACATGTGTGCTGTATGTAAAATTAATCGACACTGCCCACAGACTATACAGAACTTACCCAGTTCACCAACCGGATAATCTGACAGAAAATCTTCTCCAATTCTCACAGTATCAAACTCTAAACCTTTTGCCTTATGAGCAGTGCTGAACACGATCTCTAAAAGTAAAAAAATCCATCGTATTCAGGCAGGCGACCCGTGGAAGGGGCTGTTTGCCCATCGCTCTTCTGTCGCTACTACAATACTTCATCTAAACTCGGCATACGCGCATCGCTGTTTTTTACAAAGAGACGCCTGGGTAGTGGGTATATACGAGGCAGTATTAGTGTGTAATTCAGTGAATGAGTGATAAGAATGTTTGAGCTAGGGCTTTGTATAATTAATGTGATAAAAGGCTTATTCTAGCTTCACTACAGTATCTAGACTGGCACCCAGCCTTACCTGCTTGATCGACATCATTACAGTATTGTTTTTTAATTCTCTCAACATGCCTTCGAACATTTATGTTGTGAGTTTCCACAATCTTAAAACAAAAATATAAGGTAATCGAAAATAGCACTCTTAGATTGAAAATAGATCTCTGAGCTGCGTTCTTCGCAGTTCAGCTTACTGTAGCTTTCTGCGGCAAACAAGCATGATTAACAACTCCCCACTTACAGTACTTATTTACAGTACAGTACAGTACAGTACAGTACAGTACAGTACAGTACAGTACAGTACAGTACAGTACAGTACAGTACAGTGCAGTACAGTACAGTACAGTACAGTACAGTACAGTACAGTACAGTACAGTACGGTACAGTACGGTACGGTACAATACAGTATATACTTACAGTACTTATAAGCTCAGAGAATAAATTTTCAAGCTATAATTTTTATGAGAGAAGATTTTTAACTCGATCAAATTATCTGGAGTTGGAATCGCTATCTGTTTAAGTTCAAGTGTAACTGTACTATCAAGATAAAGATATAACAGTAGCTTCCCACACCTCTTTTAATAAGTTTTATTAGAACGTTTTAAACACACGTCACCAACCTTGATCTTGCCACACAACTCAGGATCGGGAGCTGTACAGGCATATTTCTTTAACTCGGCGAAAGTTCGAAATCTCTTGATAAACTTGTCTTTTATTCCATCTATTAAAATAAGAGGAAATACAATTCTATTTTTTGGCAACCATAGCAGTGACGATTTTCTAATCAGTGGCGGAAACTTCGAGAAATATTGAAGAGGGGGAGGAGGGGCGGGGGCAATCAAGTTGCCAACATATGACCAGCTTTCGTGGCCGAAAATCTTAGTGCTTAAAACTGATATCTGCTTTAAATTGCATGCAATATGTACTGTAGCATCACTTTTAGCCTACCTTAGCCGAAAGTGCTTATCTGCCTTAAATTTCATGCAATATGTACTGTACAGTAGTTTCATTTTTAGTACTGTACATGTAGCCACCAATGCTTTCATGGCTGAAGAATTATTGTTACAACCTTGTTACACGGCTACAGTATTCAGTCATCATCCACAGACTTTCAGAAATTATTTACAATACAATACAATACAATACAATTTTATTCAGTACCGGTAGTAATACATACATAAATATAAAATAAAGATAAAGTTACGAAAAGAAGGTACTAGCTAACTGTAATAACCAAAAGGCTAATCGAGACAGTCAGCGAATTTGATTAGTAACAAAATATATTTTAGTGGGTAAACTGAATAAATAAAACACATGCAATAAAGATTTCAAAATGGACAATTTTGATGCTATAAGCTAATATGAATTCAATATATTATTTTTAAGTTTGTGTTTAAACTGTGATTTAGAAAGACCCTTAAGATTTTCGTCAATTGAATTCCACACATTACTGCCAACAAAACGTATATTAAATTTTCCATAGTTGGTTCTTACTTTTGGAAGGGAGTATGACGATCTCGAAGCAAGTCTGGTGTTATAGTTATGTTTTTGGCTTACTAATGCAAAATACTCATCAAATACGTGAGGAAGTCGGGTGGGTGTGCGCCTCCTATACCCTAGCGTCCAGCACTGTTTTTAATGTTGACTACACAGGACTTCACCATATCAGTCACCCGTACTGCCCAGTTTGCTGCATCAACTACAGTACATACCTCGGCCAGTTCCACTATACAGCATATGAATATCCAGAACACGGTCTAAGTTGTAACCTTGGATACCCTATGATATCAAAAAGGCATCAGTATACTGTAATACAAATCTAAACTTGAGGTCACTCAGAGACTGAATTAAATTTGTATCATGCATAAATTATATTACGCATTCAGTTTCTTCTGCCCAGCAAAGCAAGACAAATCTTTGCCAATTTCGCATATAATTTTTATTCAAATTTAACCACAATTTAAGCAGTTTGTCCTTCGGTAATGTCCATATGTTCCACAAATCTTAAACAAACACTTTGAGAAATTTGATAATTTTCGAGTCGGAGAATCGTGCTGACAAACAACACAGGCGCAAGCGGGATAAAAACATAACCTCCTGGCGGAGGTAACAATGGACAGTAGTATGTTATTAGGGGAAAAATCACTATTGTCAAGTACCACAATTAGTATCTGGTCAATATTTTCCCTGACCATGTATCCGGTAGACTACCATCCAGTTTTATTTTACAGTTCCATAGCTTACCCCAGCAAAACCAATTCTTGTTTTATTGTTCCTTGTGCATGTTTGCACCACATTGTTGAACAAAGCAAAGTTAGTTCGGCAAATGACGGCAATTTGACCAATATGATCGCCATGGAAGCCACCTGTAAAAAACAAAATAAATTTAGCCCTGGCCTAATACCTATTGTGGGCAGGGACATTTTTTGGGACACCTCTATATTCAAACCTTGCCTTACCTGCTTTTGAAATACCAACAATATTCTTGTTGCATACACCTTTCAAAATGTGCAACAGAGACGATGCCACGGACGCAATTTCTGAACCAAATCTGAAGGACTAAAGGAAACTGAATTAATGGACCGTAAACCTCCAACTATCAGCCCCTCCTCGTACTGAAGCTCCCATCATGTACATAGCCCTGACTTATGGAGTACTGTAAGAACCCAACGTAAGTAAATCCATGCCCTTGACCTGCAGGTTTAAATTCAGTGGTATGCGAGAGCGCACTATAACACAGCCTGCTCCGCAATCATCAATACATGTATACCTGAGTGAGGTAGTAGATGTGAGTGGAATCGACCTGAGCCATTGCATTTGTAGCTCCTCGAAAACCATATATCTGTTGATGAGGATCGCCAACTAATATCTTTGCAACTTTCTGACTCAGCAAGATGTCAGCCACAGCTACAGAAACAAGAAGGAAAACGTTTTCTAGCCTACAGTATATTACAGTAACATACGTACAGTAGAGTTCAAGCTTTGATAAAAAGAGACCCACTCTTCCAGACTAATTTGAAAATAATGACTTCTGTGTGTGTTGGTATTACAGTGCAGTACTGTACAGCATGTAGTCAGGTGAATATGATGTTTGTGATGTTACCCTGAGTGTGCAACCACACCGGGCAAGCTGAAAAGTTTGCCTGACCACCGTGGTCAGGCAAACTTTTCAGCTTGCCCCGGTGTGGATGCACAATCAGAGTAACATCGCAAACATCATAATTTGAAAATATCACGGATTTCGTTCGCTGTACCTGGTGTGCAGTCCTGGGCTTCATCCACCAAAATGCAGTCGTATTTCGTTATTACTGGTTTGGACAATTGATAGAGTTTCAGATAACCTACAGTATAAAAAGAAATACTATAGTTGATCATTCTTAACATACAGTAGAGCAGCTTTTGAATGCGCAGTGGTGCGAAAAACCGCGCCTCGCAGATGAAAGGATTATTAATTAAAAGTTGTCTTCCCCATAATAGCATGAATATCTGTACTGTAAGTTTCTCGTCGCTAAATTCCCCAAAGTTTTCCCTGACGATCATATACTGTACATAGCTATCATTACAAACTGATAACAGGACTTGAGGAAAATTAGCGATTAAACTCCTACAGTATGTACGTTCGCACTTCTATAAATACTTCAGGCGGAATTGAATCGCAAATTTCACAAATTAAGCTATGTATTACTTCTAATAATTTAATGAGGAATTTGGGCATCTACTTTACAGTGCACTCGATATACAGGAACTTGGGTTTACAGATTTTAAATGTGAATTTTATACATTTTAGTGTATTAAGGCTCGTTTACAATTGCAATCTTTGCTGAGATTTTAGGCGCGATTTTCTTCTTCTGATGGATGTGAACGAGTGGATGAGTTATGAATGCTCAGATGAGGGTACACATACAGTACTGTACTCAGAACATTCGTAACTCATCCACTCGTTCACATGCATCAGAAGAAAATCGCAACAAAAATTGCAACAAAAATTGCAAGTGTAAACAGGCCTTTATACAGTAGACCTAAGCAGGAGTAGTTATAAGCCTATAGGAATCGAAGTTTGCTGAAAATCAACTATAGTATAGGCCCAAGAATCGTCCCCTGCATGCGCTACACGAAGCATTTACTGTACTTACCATCGTGAGTAATTCTTACGTCACGGTTTTCAGGATCACGCATTTTATCCCAAATTTCTCTGCAATCACGCACAACAATCTGAAGAATGATAAAGACACAGTACTGTAGGACCAAGTGGAAATGATTTCGTCAGTGGGTGGAGAGGAAAGCAAACAAAACTAACTCTATACATTTACACGAGTTTTCAAGCACGTCAAGTCAGAGCGAGGTCACCCAAATACAGAACTGCATGAATGACAGATTAATTTTATTCTGCAAGGACATTTTGATCGATCAAATAAAATACTGACACCGTTTTCATTTCAGTTAAAAGAATATTATTTGATTATAACTGTTCAAAAAGCATAAAAGCAAGAGAAGGAACAGAAAACATTTTCTTGCCTTCGTTGTTGGTAATGGTACCAGACATTGCAGAAAATTCGAAAACAATAAGAAATTTCAAGACTTCAGCGAAGAGAAAAATACTTTAAAAATACAAAAACAACTGCCATTCGGCCAAAAAATGGCAAATTATCGGCAATTATTTTTGTAGTTTTAAAATATTTCCCTTTTAGCTAAAGTCTTGAAATTTCTACACCAAATTGCGTTTTTCAATAGCTCCAATTTCATATACAGCACAACGTTCAGTGTTGAGTATTTCTGCTCATAACTCAGAAAAACTAAAATGCACTGGCTTCAATCCCCCCCCCCCCCCCCCAGTTTACATACTGTATAGAGTTCACTGGATGTCAATGATCATGCGGGAAGTGGTCAGCAGGAGCTATCACATCAATGTACTGTATTAAATATTTAAAAGTTGCATGGCCGACCATTATTAGCCATTGTCCAAGCACCTGCAAATTTGGCTGGACATTTGTCAGACTCTAGTGTAATCGTTATAATCCGCACCGCCATCAAGGCCTCGACATACTGTACAGTAGTCGGCTTAAGTTGGCGGTAAGGGGCAGCAAGCTAACCGCATTACCGTTATTACTGTACCTTTATGTACGCATCACTATTAAAGTATTCCAGTTTACTCCGATCGCCATCGCTGTCTCCAGAGGCAATGTCTCGATGGGGTACATTCTCCGAGCTTATATGATCATCATAAGAAGATATAAAGTTTGTGAGTGTGTCAATGACACGTTTAGCGTGGAGGAAAGTTGCGCTCTCCTTACGAAGGTTATCCATTATGTTGCTTACTCGGAGACTGGAGGCCATTTTCCCACGAAACCTTCAATATAAACATATATGATGAGACGTACTGTACTATGATGGATGATTCGAACATTGCACAGCAAAATTCATATTTGAGGTTAAAATCATTTTAGGGAAATTGTTCGAATGCTTACTTATGACCAACAGTTCTATACGCCATGGAATGCACTGTGCGCGATTCAACGTTTCCTGGAAATTTGCGAACAGCTTGCTCTTGAACAGACCTAAAGATGAGAGAAAGATAAAACTGTTTTGCAGTGTTTCTGATAATCAATTTACCTGCAGTGCAATATAGTGTAATCTGCGATAACAGACTGATCTCAGCCGACCTCCCCTGGAGCAGCAGAGAAACAGTCTGCGATCAATTAACACTAATGCCGTACAGTTACGTAAGCAGTATTTTGCATAATTGATTTAAAATTATTCAAAAAATGTCATGTCCGAGATGGCACTGTTTCATGACCACAGGAGCCATTTGATGATTCGGTCCAACACATCTCTCTTAGATACGAAGTTGAACAAGTCTTCTTCTTGTCCTTGTTTTAATGTATCGACAGAAAAAAGGGACTCAACGTCTTTGACTGCTTTCTTAAAGCTTTGGAAATCCGTCATTTTAACAATGTAATTTATGCAATTTTCGGCTTGATCACAAAGGAAAATTTCAACCAATCATATTCCGCCCCCCGTTGTGCGGGGGCAACTGTACGGCATTAGTGCTGATTGAGCGCAGACTGTTTCTCCGCCACTCCAGGGGTGGTCGGCTGAGATCAGTCTGCTATTGCAGACTAAATATAGTGTACATTACATAGGAAAAATGCTCATATGTATTTTGAAAGTATACTTGTACTTTCAGCAGCTATTCAAAACAGCTTTTAACTAACATTATTTTTTGAAGATCCAGGCTTACGGATCGAAAGCTTTGCAGTAATAAATTTACGTGGTGTTTTCACAAACAAAAAGTATTATAACATTATTTTTGTTTGAAAGAAGGACTAAAATGTCTATTCCTTTCTTTCTGTTCTTTCAACGTCACCGCAAATGCGGTGAAGATGAGGACGTCTAAATTTCAGAATGCCTGAAAATGAGAAACTTTCTTGTCCAACGTGGCTATCGCAAAGATCTGAAATTATTGCTGCATGTTACTTGTTTATATACAATTTAATATTAGATATGCAATACATGGAACTAACTTGTTGTATGCAACATTCAAGAATTTCCAACTCGGACGAAGTTTCGTATACTCAACTAGCGTCGTGGTTTTCCCTGTACCTAGACGTTACAAAACAGTCATATTACCGTTATTATTAAATTATTAAACACATGAAACAAGACATATGGGCAGATTAGTATACGAAACTAACGTGTATACTCTAGTTGATATGAAATTTATCATTTACCAGCAAATGCGACAATTTTCAGAACATCCCCATACTTCGTGTTGTGATTCATAATGCGGACCTGCTCATGCGTCAACCAAGTTGTCTCCGATGATTCTCTAAAATAGAAGTACAATTATCAGACATGTATCGCGACTCTCTGGTTCAAGGATGGGAAAATAGGCGAGCACGTGAGCACTGCTCGCAGGAAATGTTAAACACCTGTAGGGAATTCGTTTGAATGAAGATTCGCTATATTGAAAATTTGAAGGAAACTAATAATAAGTAAACTTTAGATTACTAACGTTATTTTTATCTAACTTACCTATTTTTACCTGTAAATATAGAATAGATTAAATACCTATGTTCTTATACCCTGTAATTCCAAAGTAATTCAGTTGTTACTGCTAGTTTGGAAATTTTTAATAATAATAATTTAACGTAGAGAGCGAAACCTTAAAGGTCCAGACACACCGGACGCGATACGACAACGCGACGCGATTTTTTGATTTTCACTGCCCGATAACTTTGATCCTAGTTTAAATTTTCCAAATATTTAGAAGCGCTATAACATTTTGAGTTATTTGGTCTACATATGTTTTAAAATTTGCTCTCATTGGCTGTTTTATTAACTTTCAAAAACTAAAAAATCGCGTCGCGTTGTCGAATCGCGTCCGGTGTGTCTGGACCTCAACACCCATGTCCCACTACGGGCGCAACAACATATGGTTGACAAACATTATTCCTTGAATTTAAAACCATGGTCAGCCAGAACACTATATGTTTATGCACATGCAGATTTAGCACAAAAATACTCCGTTGATCTGCAGGAAATTTTTCTCTCCAGGTTGTGCTCGAAGGAAGTAAGAAAGAGGGGGGAAAGTCTTTTTTCCTGCCCTGCTCTGGTTTAACACTCTGGTCAACCGAGGACTAGAGTTTCAGACCCAGAGAGAGAATTAACACTCTACAAATCACAAATTGTCATGGAAAAAACCACAACTACAGTTTTGAAAACCAAAAAATTAGTGGCCGACAATTTCACAGGAATATAAACCATTCGAGTTTACAATACTGCACAAAGTCAAACTATTAGAAAGGTTAAGATACCCCGGTTTCGGTGTACCGGTACGAGTAGTGTCATCTTGTTTTACTGATGTCTGTAATTCGATACTACTTTTTCTGTTTTCTTGCAATAGACAATGATATATGGCGAAAAATATGCACCTTAATTACAGTAAAGGTACAGACATCGACGAAAATATTGCTAACCAAAATCATGCTACCTGTACACTGAAACCGGGGTATCTTCACCTCTCTAATAATAGGAAAAAAACATTTGTCAGATAAAATTGGAATTTGTATAACTAGCATGGCCCAAATTTGTGAAAATAATTATACCGTATGTATGTACAATACATAGGCCAGAGAAATTCTTAATTTGCAGCCGGGGCACTCACTCGCATTTTACCACAAACTTTTTTCATTTACTCAACTTTGACCTGGTCCAAATTTGATAAACAATTGAGAAAAGTTTCATCTCGCTTTTGACTGCCATGCAAAGTGATTTCTAGTCTTAATGTCTCATAAACTTAATCTTACTTTCACTTCCTCTTCAACAAACCTGTATTTCGATATACATTGCTGTCCAGAGGTATTGGCAGTGTACGCAGATTCGAGTGATGACTGTGTACAGTGAGATGTGTTTTCATGTAGATAAAGAGCATAGTAAATCCTGTAGTGATGGCTGAAAAATACAAGAATGAACTGCATTGAGTGAATGGACTTTACATCCAGTTTGTGTCTTAATAATTGTCCGTTTGAGTACATACAGCACCTTTTTAATTGCATGTTTAGATAGATATTTGTATAGTTTGGCAGAAAATTAATTTGAACATTGTCTGAAAAAATTATTTGAAATTAGTAAAATCAAATTCATTATTTTTAACAATTAGAGTCTTTTTAAAATACAATAAAGTAATGGTTAACCCATTGAGCAGCAGCGCTTTCCCCTTAATACATCCTACTTTATTATTTCATTCTGTCAGTCTGTCTAACACCAATAGGTTAACTCAGGAGTAACATTATATTTCAGTATTAAATATACAGTGTACTGTATATACTGTACTGTACACAGTTTGTACCTGGTAAAATGGTTTGGATGCTTCTCCATCAAAGCAAAGAAAATCAAAGCAAGACAATGGAGGCATTCCATGATATCATACAGCAGACAAGTGGAAGACTTGAATGAACACAATATAATTTCTTGGATGTCGTATACTGAGCTAGACACCAAGGATAATAAACCAATGACAGACCAACAACTGTAAGGCTGCTATAAAAACAATCAAACAGTAAATGTACAGTGAAGGTGGAGACAATAATAATCTTTATCATTCACTTTATAGTATTCTTAATTTTGATTGGTTGATTTACCTACAACTGCAAGCAAATACGGTAATAGTCTGAGCATACGCATTTGTTAAAAACGTTGTTCAGTTACAAATAATACTCTGAGCATGCGCACTGCCTTCAATTTTTGTAAACAATGACGGCTCACAAGGAACTTTCGGATTTTATGTGAAAACACAGTTCCTAGTTACAATGTCTTATAATGAAAGATAAAACGAAGCTTTATAAGAGAATGATAAAACAATTATTGAACTCGGTTCTCGCAAAATATTGTGATTTGTCAGTGGCTCACAGAATCACAGATCAATCTGTTTTACATGTACTGTATCCGCTCGCCACCGACAAATCACGATATTTTGCTCAACCTCATCCAATATATCTGATTGCATGAATAGTCCTACAAATCAAAACATTTCATTCTTTGTTAACTGTTGCATACTGTATTAAAAGTATTCTGTCAGTATTTCCATTGTACAAAATTGAAATTTCTTTGATTTTTTTAGAAGAAAATTTGCAAGTCAGCCCTTGAAATTCGCGGTGGCATTCGGCAATTGCCAATGTGAATAGTGAAAAGAGCCTATCACGACAGCACTTTTTTGCCGACGTGAATAAATTTTACGATATCGGCAAGGAATTGTTTAATAGACTGAAAAACAGTTTTGTTTTAATGTTCGTTTTCACTTTAACTTAAAGTTCTTAGTTAAGTTTAACTTGTAAGTAACATTACATATTAAAAGGTATACTTGTATATTATCTCTTGACTTTAAATGACTTTTAGGGGAATTTAACCCAATTAAAGGCTAAAACTAAACATCAACTGCTTTAAAAAATTTGCCGCTGTGAATTCCGCTATTGCCGTCGTGAAACAGAAAATGACGGATTCACAGTGAAAAAATCTGAATTTCAAGGGCTGCAAGTAACTTTTTGCTCTCTACATTAATTAATTAATGGTCATTACTGATTACAGAAAAAATCCAGACTCCCCCTGGAGAAGACATTTCTGGCACCCAGAGGGAAGAGGGGCAACTCTGATAATTGACGAAATGTGCTAGGATGTCTAAAGGGGGGAGGGGGTTAATTTGTTATTTTCTCTGTGGGGTCAATAACTATCTCAAATACATATTTACAGTACCATACCTGAATATCACTCTGCTGCATAAATTTTTCAATAAGATGGTATTTTGAATGCAAGCACAACATATCCAGCATATTTGAATGCTCTTCACGGACAATACGAAATTTTGTCAAAAATCTGAAATTATTAATTAAAAATTTCAGATCATTAGTCCATTAAGCTGCATTGCACCCTAATGGGACCTACTTTATTATTTTACTCTGTCTAATGATAGACGAGTTTACATGTCAAATGAAGAGTGCTGGCACTCAATGAGTTATCAGTGGGTTATCAGACAAAGTATTATCCGCATTTTACAACATTTCGCAACAAAACTTTGGAATAATTTATGACTAATTTTGTGATGCTCTTTCCAGCTGTGATGAAATTTTTGTCTAGAACAAAATTTAGTCTATTATGCAAGTGGTCAATTCATTTGCATACTATCCAGTTATGATCAGGCTACAGTACATGTAGCTCACTCTAGCATGAATAAATTACTGTAATCTGGTGATCAAGCATTATACTGCTACAGTAATACCTGAACAATTGACTAGGAAAGATGGAAGGAACATTTAGCTGTTCTTGAATGAATAAGTCATCTATTTCCTTTCTACTTTCAAAAGAGTATTTGTAGCGGTAATATCTCTTCTTCCAAAGCAGGAATTTTTCACAGGATATCAGCCTATTCCACCTCTTACAAACGAGGGACAAATTCGTTAACAAGTCAATCAACGGGAGTTGGCAAAATATAGTCTCTAAAATTTCATCGGGTATTTCATTAAAATATGCTCTCCGGCTAAAGTTCTCCATTTCCTTATCAAAACATACATCCATATCTTCCTCGTCCGAGCTCGTAATTCCAAACAGTCCAAACATATTTGGAGAATTTCTAGCTTTCTTATCAGGAGGCAATGATGTTTGACTTGCAGACAACTCTGCTTTCCTGCAAACCTCTAATATTTCCAAGTCATTTTCTTCGATGTCAAAATCATCAAAACTGTTAGTTTTTCTTGGTTGGGCTTGATGGGAATAATTTAAATTGCTAGTTGCACTTGCATTCTTATTAAATTGTGGAAGCAATTGTCTTTTTCTTGCGGAAGTTTTACCATTCGATTTTTGAACATTTTCGGTCTTGATTCTAACATTACTCCCGGCTTTTTCATAAACTATTTCAAGTTCAGGATCTTTTGGCTTGCTACTAGAACATCCACCAAAAATATTTTCATTTTGGACGGAAGTGTCATCATTCGCAACTGATTTTCTGTGTTTTAGCTTTTCTTTGCTTAAAGACAACTCTGCCCTGTCACAACATTCGATGATTTCAATTTCGGATTCTCTTTCTTCGCTACTAGAACAGCCACCAAAAATACATTTAGTTTGGCTGAAATTGCCAAAATTTGCCTTTGATTTCCTTTCTTTTCTATGTTTCAACTTTTTTTCGCTTAACGACAACTCTGCCCTCTCACAACATTCAATAATTTCGAGTTCAGAATCTGAGCAATGTGCACCAATATTTTCAGTTTGAGACAAATCGCAATCATTTGGACTTGACCTAACATTACCATTCCTGCGTTTCAGTTTTTCTTGGCTTAACGACAACTCTGCCCTCTCACAACATTCGATAATTTCAAGTTCGTTATCTGAGGGACCACCAATATTTTCAGTTTGAGACAAATTGCAATCATTCGGACTTGATCTAACGTTGTCATTCTTGCGTTTCAGTTTTTCTTGGCTTAACGACAACTCTGCCCTTTCACAACATTCGATAATTTCAAGTTCGTTATCTGAGCAACGACCAATATTTTCAGTTTGAGACAAATGGCAATCATTCAGACTTGATCTAACGTTGTCATTCTTGCATTTCTGTTTTTCTTGGCTTAACGACAACTCTGCCCTCTCACAACAATCAATAAGTTGAAGCTCCGACTCTATCTCCTCACTATGATTTATACAACCATCATTTTCAATTTGGACAAAATTGCTACCATTTGATTTCGAATTCCAACAATCCATCTTCTTTATTTTAAAACAGTTAGGATTATTTGTCTTATCAAATGGCGCAAGAAGTGTCTGCTTTTTTCTTGCAACAGGTTTAGATGTTATTTTACTTACAGTTTCACTTGAAGCAGGGCGCAATTTATTCTGCGATTTTGTATTTTTGTGGTCTGTGTTCCATACACAAAATAACTTGATAGATTTTTGTGAATCGTCCAAGTTATTATATCTACGCCTTTTACGTCCTTTACTGCCGCTTGTAGTCATTTCAACATCCACATTTTGTAAAAATATACTAAAAATTATTCGACAAAGAAATCAAATATAAAATTGTTGAAACTTGAAAATCCAAAAGTTCGTTTTAAATGAGCCCGCTAACCTGAAGAAGGCACCGCCTAACGATACTTTATATAACCACGTATATTGAGCGATCTCTCAGCATCACTAGCTACAGTGTATGTCACTAGCTAGATATCCTCTAGATATATCAATGCATATTCCATAACATCAATAGATATGCCTAGATACCAACACATATCATTTAACATCATTAGATATCCATTAATATCAATACATATAACTTAACATCAGCAGATATCCCTTATCATCAACAAATATAAACAATAAACAAGCATAAATATGACCACCAAAATACCAGAACAGTCATTGAGGCAATTTCGCCTAAATAAAATCAGTGAAATTTCTAATGTTCTTGATGAATGTGACAAAACAATAGAAGACCTTTCAGAAAGACTTGAATGGGACAAAAAACAACTGCTTGCCGAGGTATTTAATATTCTGTAATTTCTGTGGATTGTGTCTGTGGTGATGAGCCAGATGAGGAGACTCGAGAGACTTCATGATGATGATCATCAACCATCCCCCCGGTCTCAAATGGATTGTCATCGTTGAGACCTTGACGAATACCAGATTACAGCAGATTACCAGTCATTTTACATTATTAAACTAACAGACACTAACTCGTGGACAATATTACTATGAATAAAACTGCAGTAAAATCCAAAGAAACACAAACCGAAATGACATCATACTGTAGTTTTTACCAACACTGATTACAGGCATTACACACTGACACTGTGTATTAACCCTGCTCATTTTTATGCACAAATTGATACTATGTGTATTAGACCTGAGTCCTTATTAGAGAGGTCACTATTGTCATAGGGAGGTGTCTTTATTAGAGATTCGCACACCTGACCCTAGCTTTTTTAAAAGGTTCTTGCACGGGTCAGGACAAAAAATAAGCCATCTTGAACATCAGTGATACCACTATGACCACAATGCAAAGTGCTACGGAAACGTAATAAGGGGAATCATCAACTAGTCATTGTCTTTGAAAAGTGTCTGTTTTCATCTAAAGATGTGCACATACTGTATCAGAGAGATTCTAGAGGGTGTCCACATAAAAGAGGTGTCCATCTTAGAGAAATGTATGTGTTAGAGCATGTCCATATTAGAGAGGTATCTGAATTAGAGAGATGTCTGTGTAAAAGGGTGTACAGATTAGAGAGATGTCTGTGTTTAAGAGGGTGTCCAAATTAGAGAGATGTCTGTGTTTAAGAGGGTGTCCAAATTTAATTAGAGAGGTGTCTGAATTAGAGAGATGTCTGTGTTTAAGAGGGTGTCCAAATTAGAGAGGTGTTCAAATTAGAGAGATGTCTGTGTTTAAGAGGGTGTCCACATTAGAGAGGTGTCCGAATTAGAGAGATGTCGTGTTTAAGAGGGTGTCCACATTAGATAGGTGTCCGAATTAGAGAGATGTCTGTGTAAGAGGGTGTCCGCATTAGAGAGGCGTCCGAATTAGAGAGATGTCTGTGTTTAAGAGGGTGTCCACATTAGAGAGGTGTTCGAATTAGAGAGATGTCTGTGTTTAAGAGGGTGTCCACATTAGAGAGGTGTCCGAATTAAAGAGATGTCTGTGTTTAAGAGGGTGTCCACATCAGAGAGGTGTCCGAATTAGAGAGATGTCTGTAAGAGGGTGTCCACATTAGAGAGGTGTCCGAATTAAAGAGATGTCTGTGTCAGAGGGTGTCCACATTAGAGAGGTGTTCGAATTAGAGAGATGTCTGTGTTTAAGAGGGTGTCCACATCAGAGAGGTGTCCGAATTAGAGAGATGTCTGTAAGAGGGTGTCCACATTAGAGAGGTGACCATATTAAAAAGATGTCTGTGTTAGACCATTAGAATTTAGAGGGTGTCCAAATTAGAGGGGAGTCCATATTAGAGAGATGTCTGTGTAAGAGGGTGTCCACATTAGAGGTGTCTGTATTAGAGAGATGTCTGTGTATGAGGGTGTCCACAGTAGAGAGGTGACCATATTAAAAAGATATCTGTGTAATTAGACCATAAGAGTTTAGAGGGTGTCCAAATTAGAGGGGAGTCCATATTAGAGAGATGTCTGTGTAAGAGGGTGTCCACATTAGAGAGGCGTCTGTATTAGAGAGATGTCTTTGTCAGAAGTTGTGTCTTAGAGTGGTGTCCATATTTGAGTTGTCTGCTAAAGTGGTGCCTATTTCAGGAAAATATCTTAAGAGGTTTGACTCCAGTACAAGTTTGGTTTACAAAATTTAGCCAGGTTTAAAATATTGTCAAAATACTGTATTCGTATATATTTTTCAAGCGGTAGTTGCCATACTCGCATCATTCATTATCCAATTTAAAATAATTTCACAATTCTTGCAGCAAAACATCAAAAGAGCACAGTGCCCATTTAACGTTCATCATGTCATGACAAAAGGTGATCTCGACAACCACATACAAAAATGTCGTATGAAGCAGATGGGTTTTGCACCTTGTGAGGTATACCCATCATTTGAATTTTCTTGTTTTGTCCATACTTGCTATTTAGTGATTTATAATTTCCATTCAACCTTAGAGTTCATCCAAATTCTACGACAGCACATCTTCAGTAGTTTCAATTACTACAGATGTTACAAGTACATGTAAGTCTATATTTTGTCATCTATAGTGGAACATCTAGTACTGGCCTTATCAGATATGTACTGACATAAATTTATGTTGAGTTTTTCATCTAAGATGGGAATCGTGTGTAAACCAAATTTTTGTTGAGCATGTTGGTGTTGATCTTGTCTGACATATGAGTTTTTCATCTTCAATGTAAATCAGTTTTCTAACATGCATTTGGCTATATGCATGCATACCATGTGTATATTGGTCCAAAATTTGGATCTGATATGGACCTGCTGTTTCCAGTGGTAGTTTTGCCATTTAGCATATGGTCATTGCTACACAACCCCTTACTAAAGCAATTAGGTTAATTGCCATAGAAAATCAATGCATTATAATCTATTAACCCTTTAAGTGGCATTGCACTTTCAGAATTACTACCCTACTTTATTAATTGTACTCCAGTCTAATGCCAGACAGTTTTACTTGTCAAGGGGGGACTTGCCACTCAGTGATTTAATCAAACTATCTGCCCATGCATCTTTTAAAAGCCTTTAGGTGGCAATGCACCGTGTCACTGATGCAACCTACTTTGTTATTTCACCTTGACGTACTACGTCTAATGCCAGATGATTTTACTTGTCAAGGGAATGCCAGCTGCGGGCTGCTGCCACTCAAATGGGTTAATATTATTGTCTAATATTGAAAGTGTTTTAATATTAAACAGCAGAAGGCAATCACAGAGATCTGGTTATACCTTCTGAATATCATGTATATATGCACACACCTGATGAAAGACTAAGTCATTATGATAATGACATTAAGGTAAAAGAATTAAAACATCACAGTGTTTGAACGAAAAATAACCTCTTACCACCAGTTCTTAAAAAGAGAGGAGGTTTGTTCCACCATTAAACAACACCCACCACCACCGGCAGTAACTCTAAAAATCAGCATAATTTATAGTCAACAATTATATATATATATAAAACAACATGGAGAAACAACATAAACATTAACAACAGCATCCTAAGGGAGTATGGGTCACCACTGATGTATATAATATTGTCCGGTTATTCAATTGGTTGATTATAGAATTTTCTAAAGATTGAGTCACAAAGACTGGTTGGGTTTATCCCCATATGTTATCACATATACTTCTCAAATTCAGTAATAATTCATGAGTAATTCAGCCAATGATAATCACCTATTTGATCACAAGATGCCATTTGGATACTTGATGAAAGTTACTAGTGTTTTCATCAAATATCTTAATTACGCATGCAAAATTACTTGAATAGAATTCCTAGTCACGTTATGCTTGGTTAAGAATTCTATTCAAATCAGCAAACGAAAACATTCTGTTACGTCTCAATTCATTTGAGAAGCCATATAAACAACTCGAGCTCGTGTCTCACCGGGACATCCAAACACTCGAAAACAATGTATGAAAACACTCGCGCTTCGAGCTCGTGTTCTCATACATTGTTTTCTCGTGTTTGGATATCCCGGTGAAACACTCGCTCTCGTTGTTCATATATTACATAATGCATGTACGCTCCGCGTTCCTATTTGTTCAGATTTTTTCCAAGGTCTTGAATTTCTTTGTGCATCTTCATGACAATAATGTGTCATGTATACATCCCTATTATTTTTTAGAATACTTAGTAAACAATTCACGAAAATATTCTAGATAGAAAGCTACTGTTTTATGAATCAATATTTTAGATCACAAGCTCCAAACGAAAAGCCGAGAGAGACCTTGAATCAGATCTGAGTGAATCACCACTGGACAGTAAAGGTGTGAGCAAATTGCGACAAAATACAATGTCAGTGAAAAAGTGAAGTGACCCATTAATTTCACTAACATAATGTACAGTACATATATTGTAGTATAAGTGTTTTCAAACAAGTCGCTACTTGTGTGTCTGAACATTTTGGCTTCAATTTATGGAGGTTGAAGAGTATGTAACCTGTAACCTGAAATTTGATGTCGTAGTTGTAATATAGGAGTCATTCTATGCAGAAGTGTAATATATTTTTATAGTAAAAAACCTCATCTTGACCAACTTTTCAACTCACAAAGTCACTGGATATGATGTCATTAGATAATTGTAGCAGTAAAAAACAAAGGCAAACTATTCTTCCAATTTCATCTATAAATGACATATCCGGAAACGTTGATAGTGAAAAAGTTGATCAAGATGATCAGTAAGTTTTTTGCAATAAAGATATATAATATATTAATTTCAAAAACTCATTAATAATTCATGAAGCAATTATCCAATTTTGAGTAAGAAATTAGTCACGTGCATACGTCTTTATACCAGCTAAAGAACACTTTAACAAAAGACCATTGTTATGCAAACTATATAAAGATTTTTATATAAAGATTTTTATATAAAGATTTGACTTATTACGCAAACGTTTTTGAAGCCATTTAAAAACTCGCAGGTCGTGTTTTATTAGGTCTAAAGCCACTCGCGCTGCGCGTTCGTGGCTTTAAACCTAATAAAACACTCCTGCTCGTTTTTTTAAATAGTACATTACATTTCATATTTAAGGAAACTGAGAAACAGCATATTTATATTTTTTTTTAGAAACTATTTCAGGTAATCTAAAGTCGGAATTGGAACTATTGGCAGAGAAAAGAGATTACAAAAGGAGAAGACAATCCTACCGCGCAAAGAATGTTCATATTACCAAACGAACTCCAATAGAGGTATGGAAGTCGTAGTTACACTCAGACACTCATATTGAGGGACGAGTAAGGTGTCTAGCTCAGTTGGATTGAGCGCTACACCGGAATCGCAGAGGCACAGGTTCGATTCCTGCCTTTTGACCTATGGTTGCATTTTTTGCAACTGCTCAAAATGTACTGATAAAATTTACACCCAAAAATTTCCATCTACAAAATACTCCAAGATTAGGTTAATCGAGTAAGACACCCAAAAATTATTGCGGGGGGGGGGGGGGTTGTCCCTTTCCCCCTCCCTCCCCAAGTGTCCGTCACTAGTTGTACTGTCTTTCAATTTGCTTGCATGTTACTACTGTACCTAACAGTCAACATTTCTGCATATGAAGATCCATTTCTCTCTTTCGTTTTAGATCACACGCGAGATTATTAACAACAGAATGGAGGAACTTCAGAATGTTTACGAAGAAACTAAAAAGGCCCCATTGCCCTCAAAGGATAATGATGAAAAATAAATTCCTAGACTGCGAAAACTGGATGATGTAAAGCTAGAGTTTTACACATTACAACTTTATAGTAATAAGTAGGACCTCTTAACACTGTAAACAGGACGAAAATATTTTGTTAAAATATATGAAGCTTGCTTATCACAAATTACGCAGTCACATTTCATCAATCTGACCACAGAGCACAGGCAGGGTAAGTTATCCCAACCTACGCTGTTAATCCCTGTGGGAGGAAATTGAAGTGCTCGGACTTTCGGTAGAGCGTTGACCGACCCTTTTTCACATAAATGCCACGAGTTTGCAGTGAGACTCGAACTTTCTCTGAGGATTGTACCACCGCGATGCCCCATTGATAATGATATACAGGGTGTTAAAAAAAAACTGAACAGATTTGAAATTGCTCTCAATTTCGCAAAACAGCTATTAGTATCCAGTTTTTGATGTATATACTGTAGCTTCTTTGGGTACTTATAATGTAGAATAATGAAAAAATTTCTCGAACTCAAATTTTGTGAACCAGGGGTGTGTTTTTTCCAACAGACTAAAGATGGCTTGCGCACGAAATTTAAAAGCTTTAATCATATTTTGAGTTAATAGACGAAAAATTTGCTGAGTTTTTAATTACTGTACAAAATTTCAGACAATTTGCTTTAGTTTAAGCCACTCGACTATTCGCGCAAACTTACATTTTTTTCTAAAAATTAGCTATTTGCATGCTTAATTATGCCTTTGCCTAATTTGCATATGTCAGCAATATGCAAATTAAGTAAAGGCATTAATTAAACATGCGAAAGGCTGATTTTTTAGGAAAAAATGAATAGTTAAAGGAAACTAAAGCAAATTGTCTGAAATTTTGTACAGTAATTAAAAACCCAACAAATTTCCCATCTATTAACTCAAAATATGATTAAAGCTTTTAAATTTCGTGCGCAAGCCATTTTTAGTTTGTTGGAAAAGACACACCACCCTGGTTCACAAAATTTGAGTTCGAGAATCTTTTTTCATTATTCTACATTATAAGTGCCCAAGGAAGCTACATACATCAAAAACTGGACACTAATAACTGTTTTGCGAAATTGAGAGCAAATTCATATCTGTTCAGTTTTTTTTATACACCCTGTATAGAGAATAATACATGGGTGCACGGAAATACCAGATTTATTTCGAATATCTCGCGAGTGAGCGCAGCGAACGAGTGAGATAATAGAGAGGTTAAGATACCCCGATTCCGGTTTACGGGTACGCGTGATATACACGTACCCGTACCCGTAAATCGGGGAATAATTTGTAACTTAAGAAATCCAAGATATTCCGGCGTGAGAAAACCGATCAGAGAATGGCAACTTTCGCTGTTGAGGTTCGCCATAAATTGTTGAATACTTTGACCAGCATATGTGCATTATTTATTTGGGTAAGATGTTAAAAATTTGTACTATTTAAACGGCCCAAAAATAGTAAACAGTAAACACCCGTACCCGTTTGTCGTTTACGTGTAGACCTTGGTTTACCGCGGGGAAACGGGTAGAAATTACGGGTAAAATTGCTGACATCAGCAAAAATTGGTAAACAAAATGGCGATACTCGTACCCGTAAACCGGAACCAGGGTATCTTAACCTCTCTATTATGTTGAACACGAGAAATAAATCTGAGAGCCGCTACGCAGGCTGAATAAATCTGGTATTTCCAAACATCCATGTATTTTTCTGTTTATAGAAAAGAAAGGACAGTCTTTGAAAAGCGATAATTCGTACAGAAAAGCGATAATTGAAAAGCAATAATTTTCACATGTGAAATTATTATG